GATGCGGCGCAATCCTCCGACCCCATCTGCTTCGACCCCGTCTAGGAAGCCTCTACTAAATGCCCCCCTTTGGAGCCCCTTTAGGGGCCCAAAGGGTCCCTTTCTGCAGCCCTCGCTGCCATCTCATTGATCCGCCCCACTAATTCGCGCGCAACCCTTTTTCCAGGTGAGCGCTGCTTTCTAGCGCGCGGACTTGCCAGCTTCCTCCGCAATTTTGGCTATCCCTCCCTCATGTCGTGCCATCACTTTTCTGGTCCTGGATTCGAAGGCTTGTGCGGACTCGCCCTTGGGGGTCCAGCGCATGGCGCTGTTCGCAACCTTGCGGTTTCCCTCCACCGACGGGCAACGACCCAGAGGTATAGAATTCAGAGCTCGTTTTTTGTTCCGAGGTGGTGATGCCCGCTAGGGCGATGTGGCAGATATTTGGTTGTCCCCTCTCTCTTCCTTTTTTCGTCATAGCTCCCTCTCTCCACCCTGCTCGGCCGGTCGCAGGGATGCTCTACATGGCGAGGTCGCCCTTGCCTGCCCGTGGGCCGGGATGCACAGGTGTCTCTATTTTCTGTTGGACCCAACGCCGCATGCACCCGAAACGGGATGGCCTGTACTGAAAAAGCTCTTTTCCCAATGTGTGCCCCCTTCTTCTCTGGCGATTCTCTCTCTTCGTCTCCTCGTCCTTCTCGGCTCCTGCCGGGGGGAGACGCCCTTGCCTTCCGGGAGACGCCCTGCCACTTTTCGATTATCACGGTCGGTGCCGCTCCGCTGGTGCTGGCCACGCGTCGGCGCGAGACGTTGAGCACGCCCTCCTCCTCCTCCTCCTCCTCCTCTCCTCCTCCTCCTCCTCCTCCCCTCCTCCTCCTCCTCCTCCTCCTCCTCCTCCTCCTCCTCCTCCTCCTCCTCCTCCTCCTCCTCCTCCTCCTCCTGCTCGATTCAACGATTCAACGAATTTGTTCAAAGCCCATGCGCGGCACAGGAATGAACAAAAAATATGGAGGGGACTAGGGACGCACCCAGGAGAAGAAGGAAGGCCGAGAGGAGGGAGGAAAGAGAGGGGACAGGAAGATATGTGCGTCCGAAATCCCTGGCGTGGGCGAGCCGCCTCTGCCCTGGCGGTGCCTGCTGCCCGCGCAACCAGGCAGCCAGGCCACACGGGCGGTGGGCGAGACGCATGCCTCCACGGCACGTCGTCGCCGTCCGTCGTCGTAGCCGCCCCCCTCGTCCTCCCCCCTTTCGTCCCCCGAGAATACTGCAAGCTATGACGGTGAAGCCTGCTCAACATTCAGCTGGGGGAGGGGGAGAGGAGGTGCAGAGACCCTCAGCAGCTAACACTATCGAAAAGGACCTTACCTCTTCGCTGTTTAGGGAGTCCGAGGCCTGTACGGCCCTGCCTTGCAGACCTCACTTGGCGTCCTCCTTGGGGACGCCATGCTGGACGGCAGGGCAGGGCGGCTTGCCGCAGGCTCTCCTGGTGAGGCTCGTGGCGAAAAGGTGCGCTAGCTCATTCTTGGACGCATCACTCACCCGCAAGGCCTGGAGGCGGGCTTTGACCGCGAGCGAGAACGGATCCTCGGTGGTCGGGATGGCGGTCCTGAGGTTGAGCTGTTCGCCGTCGGCTGCACCAGCGGACTCCTCCTGAGCACCCTCCAGCTCCACCCCCGTCTGCGGGGCAGCTCCTGGAGGCGGCTGCGGTTTCAAGTCCAAGGCTGAAGCGGCGTTGTAGTTGAAGCTTCCAACCTCCGAGGCCTCCTCAGTGGAGAGGCCGTCGTACTGGTCAGATGCCTGCTCGTCTTTGGCTGCGCCAGCAGATTCTGAGGCCCCCCCTGCCATGACCTCGCCAGCAATGGTCATCGTGCTCTGGTTGACCTTCGGGGCGAGGAGGCTGAGAATGTCTGCTCGCAGCGTAAGAAGAATGTCCTTGATGTCTTCCAGCACTTTGGGATTCGGGGCGACATCCTCCTCCGAGCCGATGTCGAAAAACTTGGGTTGGGCACCCGTCGATGTCGACTTGCTGGAGGCCTTGCTCCGACCGATCTGCTGGGACTCAATACTTTCCGTAGCCTAGTGTTTAAGCTCCCGCTTGAACAGCTCGCTCTCCTCGTCGAGGGCAACGTCCTCAGAGGAGGCCGACTCCATGGAGATGCCACCACCGCTGCCCTCCATGAGCGGCTTGCGAAGAGCCTGCAGCACCTTCTGCGGCAAACTTGCGGCTGGTGGATGGGCCACCGCGCGCCACCCCTGCCGCCAGAGCACGAAGTCCTTCGCGAGGTCATTCTGTCCCCGTTGCACCAAGCCTCGCCGAACGTCCTCCGTCTGGACCTTCCTGTCGAGGCCGAGGCAACCCTGCGCCTCGTCCAGCACGGACTGGAACTCCTTGAGCTGCTGCATCTCTCCCTGCCCGCCGAGCTTGGCCATGAGCTCTGCCGCCTCCTGGACGGACCGCACGTGGGCCACGCACGAACCATGCCGGACAGGGATGCCACCACCGCGCACCATGCCGGGCCCGGTGGGTGAAGCCGCGCACCTGGAGGGTCGCAGCGCCGTATGAAGACAAGTGCAGTAAGTGAACTGAAAGAGTCTTGAGCCCAAATGGCTACGGACTCCTCCTCCTGCTCCTCCTCCGCCTCCTCCTTCTCCTCCTCCTCCTCCTCCTCCTCCTCCTCCTCCTCCTCCTCCTCCTCCTCCCCCCTCCTCCCTCCTCCTCCCTTCTCCCCCTCTCCCTTCCTTCTCCTCCTCCTCCTCCTCCTCCTCCTCCTCCTCCTCTTCCTCCTCCTCCTCCTCCTCCTGCCCTCCCCCCTTTGCCCTCTCCATCGCCACCCTCCTCCGCTCCGCTCTGGAAACCTTCCCTGGGTGGCGAGTACTCCTTGCCCTCCTTGTCTTTGCGCGCGTGTACGGGGAGGGCGTATGGATCTCCCTTGAGTTCTGGCGTTCGCCCCACATTGTGCGCACGTGTGAGACCGCTCTCGCGGGATTCCTTGCCAAGAGGCGCATAGCCACCAGCGTTGCCCTGGCAGTGCAGAGCGCGCGGCAGGCGATGAGGGACACCCCCAGGGTCCGTCTTCAATCTCATCTGTACCGCTCCCTCGCCTCCTCGCTCTTCCCCGACGATTTCGCCTCGCTCCTCTCCCCCCGCTCCCGAAAATGGTGCGCCTCGCTTGGAGAACTGCCGCCCGATGTGGTCTTCCCCTGGGAGGCCATCATAGCTCAGCTCCTCAAGGGCCTTGTCGCCTGGGCTTTCGTATGTCTCCGCACGTGGTGCAGAAACTGGACCACCGAACACCGGCTTCAGCAAGAATCGCACACGTGCGTCTTCGGGTGCAGCGCATGGGATGGTTTACGACATTACCACACATGCGCACATTTTAACACGTGCTGGTCTCTGACAATGGGGTGACCCTTTCCAGAGCGCGCAGCTGCCAAATTCGTCCTGTTAGACCCATCCCCCACGAGCATCAGGAGAGCGGTCGCAGCTTGTCATATCCACAGGATTCCTCGCGTTGGCCCCAGGCTCCCGCCCACCGCAACCCGCCTCGGGGAAATCTCTGAAGCGGTGCGGGCAGCCGCCGAACTCCCCCTGGGGTACTCCTCCAAGAGGCTCGATTTGCGAGCTCGGCTTTACACGTCTGTGCTTCTCGCCATCTCTTCCGGCATCATGTCACATGATGGCCCGGAGTTCCTTGAACAGTTTTAACGCCGTTCTGTCTGTGAAGTAGAACCAGCGCATGGTACGATCCAGTTTCGGGCTTGAGCCGGTAGTTTTGATTATCTTGGTTCTGACTGTGTGAATGGGGTTGAAGGGGACCCTCCCAAAGCTTGTTTGTCACAGTCAGGACACTTGGTTTTTTGGCTCGGCTGGTGGCGTAAGTGGCAATCGGCTCTCGGCCTCTTCAGCAAAAAAGGGCCCCAGCGCCACCCAGTCGGAGCCGACAGCCACAGGAACACCTCATGTAACGCTTGGTCTTCCTCCCCTCCCCCCCCCTCTTCCCTCCTCCTCCTCGTCCTCCTCCTCCTCCTCCTCCTCCTTCTCCTCCTCCTCCTCCTCCTCCTCCTCCTCCTCCTCATCCTCCTCCTCCTCCCCGCCCCCCCTCTTCCCTCCTCCTTCTCCTCCTCCTTCTCCTCCTCCTCCTCCTCCTCCTCCTCCTCCTCCCTTCCCTCTGCTTCCTCCCCTCCGTCCCTCCCTCCCTCCTGCTCCTGGACGAGGGCGCATGCCGGCGCGTCCCGCGCCGCCTCCCCGCTGGCCGCCCTGCGGCCGCGCGCGGGCGCCGGGAGCAGCAACGTTCCGATGCGATTCCCAGCTTCCCGTCCCGCGAGGGCAGAGCGGCGCACCCTTCGGCCTGCAAGGCATGACGTGTCATAGGGGCCGCCCCCGCGGCACGCTGAGCAGAAGCTCCTCACCGCAGTCCGCCTGGAGTCGCAAGCAGGGTCGACGCCATCTCCCCGCCCTTCCCCCCCCCCCGCGGGTGCAGGAGCAAGCCGCTGAAGGGCAAGCACGTCGACCTCAAGGCCCTGCTGCTGGAGGCGTATGAGGAGGGGGGCCCCGCCCGCTCTGCCGGCGGGGTGGGGCACGGTGTCGCGCCCGCTCCACGCGCGCTCGGTCACCCAGTTTGGGCGCTCACGCGTCAGGAAAGGGAAACAGGCACACAGGCACAGGCACAGACGCAGACACAGACACAGACACAGGAAGCACAAGCACAAGCACAAGCACAAGCACAAGCACAAGCACAAGCACAAGCACACACATCCTCAGGAACAGATGGGAAAATATGAGAAGTGGGGAGGGCGAAGACGGGCATCCAGAATCTGTGAAAAAATGAAAATCCTGGGGTTCACGTCTATCTGTTTGTGCCCCTGGGCGCCTTCAACATGTTCTGATCGCCTCGCCCGCGCGCGCGCTTGTTTCCGCTCGCCCCCCTGGGGGCTCTGTGGGCGCGCCCCTGGGACGTCTTGGGGCGCCCTTGGACCGTCCGTGGGACCTCCTGGGGCTCTGTTGGAGGCTCTGGGGGTAG